TTTACAGGCTGAGCCATTGAGCCCAGCCTTTCTCTGATTTTTAAGGGTTGATAACCTCATGATTATGAAGGTATCTCATAGTAAACATCCTGTGACTTGGTCAACCACATATAAATGCTGCAGAATGACTTTTTTGTTTATTGTTAGTTTTTGAGGCAACCTTTGATTGCATCACAAATTATATAGAGGAAGACATGTTTTGTTTTTTTCTCATCGAAAATCTGTTTCTGTGCCACAGATAGCCACAGATGGCATTACATCACTCCCAGTGCCAAACTCTGCGCTCCTATTTTAAGCAGCAAGATCACAAAAAGCTGACAGGTACAACCTATAGGATTTGAGCTCAGCAGGTGGGAACATACTGCATTACTTCGACAAGCTATTAAACTGATGTAAAATTTGGGGCCAGGGTTAGGTCCATGGAGCTCTGCTTTCTGCAGCATGTGAACTCCTTCAGACAGAGGTATACTCAGATGAGTGGCACCTACCCTGATCCCTTGAGCCAGCTTCAGAGAAGCTCACCTCCCATGAAGGGCATAGGGTCAGGCAAGCAAGGCTTGTCTGAGCAGACCACACACACTGTTCTCCTAAAGAAAGGAACCTTCTGGGTTTCCTGCAATGCTGGTGCAAAAGCTTATAACTCAGAGAACAAACTACGTGTCCTGGGGCATGGTGAGGAGGGAACTACAGAGAGGATGATTCTCAGATGCTCCTTCTATTTGGTGTTCAGTGTGGGAGGGGCATGTGAGCATCTCAGAAGGCCCCACTGACCTAAGAAGCTAGCATTACAGAGACCTTATTCCTGCCCTAGATGCTTGGTTCAAAGCATATTTTTTCCAGAGTATAAAAATCATTTTTCCAGAGAAAAGTACATCCATTCTGACATGACACTCAGGGCTTATCAATGGCCCCCAAGCAAGAAGCATTCCAAGGCTAAGGGAAGAAGGAAAGCATCCTCTAAAAGACCACTGTCCAAATGCCAACATGTGCCAGTAGTTTCTGAAATGCAACTGATTTTATGAAGACAATTTTTTCTTTGTAGGAAATTGTTTTTAATGCTACATCTTTGAAAAACATAATCTTAAAATGACTCTGTGAAAGAACCTATACTATTTTGTTAATATAGATATTATTCATTGTATATTGAATTCCACTATGAAATGTTAAGTGATAGTTTTGCAGTATTCTAATAACTCTGAAAATGGGTGGCGTATTATAGCTAACATGTTTGAATCAGTGAAAAGTGGTATACTGTACACAGCTAAATATGCAAAACGGTGACAAACTCCTGTACCCTAAGTATTGTGAATGTAAATATTGGGGCTAAAATGCAATGAATAATGATAACTAAAATCATGTCACAATATGCAATATATTATCGTGGATTATTATACAGGTTACAACAGATCTGTATACAACAGAGTATTTCAGTGAAGCTAATATGACATGCATAATAAATAATAAATCTGAAGGTATTTCAATGCTCATGTTCTTATACATGAATCAAAAGCAAATATTTTACCAATGTTGGAGCCTAACAGATAATAATGAATGAATATTAGTAAAATTTAGTTTCAACTTCAAATATTACAATATTGCCACTTTTGCTATAGCACTATTGGCCTTGGAATTAATAAATATAGATAAATAATACTAGGAAGATAACCAAACCCTGCCTCTAATAGTTTGACTTTCTGTTTTGTTTTCTAACATGTCTGCAGATGACACAGCTCCCTCTGTCTGATGCCCTAAGCCCTCACCTCAAAGTCCATGGATACCCTCATTCCACTGGCATTGTGTGAGAGACCTTCCATATAAAATCCTGGAGTGGGTTGCAAAGATTATTTGCAGTGGATAAGAATAAGAAAGGGGCTTATGTACTAGCAAAGATGGTGAATAAACCACCACACATTTTTGTTAAGGGCTAGCAGTGTATAGAGTTGTATGAAAGTCACACCCACCTGGAATCCTAACCTAAAGTACTCTAGGAGTCTCAGGCGAAGCCTCAAGGGATAGCCCCACTTCTCTTATCATGGCAAACCAGCCAAAGCCAATTCAGCTACAGAGAATTTCTAAGTACATTATTTTTTAGTAGGTAATGCTGACTGCAGAGGAAATGTGAGGTGAAGAGTGTTAGCTATTACATCTTAGAACCAATTTATAATGAGTTAAGTCTCAAAAAGCATTCTGATACATGGTGGATATTCATTAGCTCAATATTTATAAATAAGAAAATCTGAAAGACACTATTCATGCAATCCTTCTGAGTTTCAGGAAAGCCCTGGGTCTCTTTTCTCCTGGTGTTTCCACTTACAGAAAAGTCCTTCCAGCGAATACTGAGGTTCCAGATGCAACAGTCTCTTCACCTTATAGTTACAGAGCCCAGAGCTCATGGTTGGTGTTTTTGTTTCCGGCGGCTGCTGACAAATTACCACAAACATGGTGACTTAAAACAATAGAAATGTATCCCCTCATAATTTGAAGCCCAGAGTTCAGAATCAAAGTGCTCTCAGCATCTTGCTCACTCCCAAGGTTCCAGAGGATTCTTCCTGCTCCTCCAGCTTCTCGTGGCTCCAGATGTCCCTTGGCTTGTGGCTGCATTACTCTCCAATCACACGGTCATCTCCTCTTCCCTCAGTTATCTCCCTCTTATAAGGATAGATGTGATAGCACTTAGGATGCCGCCAGATTATCTCAATACCCTTAATTTAATTGTATCTGCGGACCCTTTACAATTACAGGGATACATTCATGTTATGGGGATTAGGGCCCGATACCTTTTAATCCTTGGGTGGCGATTATTCAGCCTATTGCAGTTGGATGCAAGACTTTTTGGAACTCAGACTAAGGCATCATCACCACCAGTTCAGTTTATAGTTCTTGTTGGATTTTTAGGGTAAGAAGTGACTCTAAAATATTTGAGTCAATCCATACATTCTGAATAAGAATAAGAGCACATTTCCAACATCATGCTCTTCAATACATCCTTATTTTCACTGAACAAGCCCATGTTTTACGTTCTGAAGGATGATTATCAAACCACAATAGCTGATTTAAAATGTGAAATAGGAAGTTGGGCATAGTGCCTTGGTGTGTGGCTCTTTCTGACATAATACAAAGCCCAAATCTCCACATTGCAGTCGCTACGGTTTACCTGGGCTTCCCCACCACACAGATAGCATGTCCAACAATGAAGCATGTGCCATTTTTAAGGTCTGCCATGAGGAGTCAAATAACTTAAGTCTGCAACTCTGTGGGTGAGTCCGTCACAAAGGGGTATGGGTTCCAAGGGGTACTTGGGTGAACTTGCTCTAGAGTCACCAGAATCTGTCCTATGGTCACAGATTATTGACATTCTTCCCATGTGCAAAATGTTTTCACCTGCTTCCAGGATCTTACCAAAAGGCTCAACTTTTCCAGCCTTTGGCTCAGACAGGAGGCCCAGAGTTTCCTCATCAACATCAGGGTCTGGGAGGATGAGGCCCACGGTGCCATTTGTCAGTTACCACCCTCAGGGCAGTTTCATCTGAAGAATGTGAACTAGGGAAACACAACCCCTGCCTCCCCCACACAGCATACCATGACTGTCAAAAATGACTACAGAGGTGCTTCTGTCCCCAAAGGTGAATAATGGAAAGGCCACAGAAGACCCTGCTCACCAGTAGTTCTGACACTGGCTGATCCCTTGGCTTAAACCTGAGCATGTGCTCTGTGGATCTCGGCCCTGGCCCCAGAGGCTCCTCTCGTTCCATATGAGGTGGCCACAAGTGCAGTCTGAGGAACCGCAGCCTGCTCTGGTCATCATGGTTCAGCATCTAAACACCTGTGCTTATTACCCACTACTTTTTATCCTCTACTGGTGTAATTCTTTTGAACACTTTTATTGAAAGGATTTTTTACGTATCAACTTTCACCCACTGGCTTAGAAAAAAGTCCCTCTACCTCTCCCTTCTATGTCTGAGACCATGAAAATAACAGCCTTGAGATTCCAGGAAGCTCAGTGGTTATGCCAAGGAGCTGCAGGCACACCCATCAGACCCCTAGAGTGCCTCCTACCTTGCTGAGGTGGTAGGAGGTGCTACCTCACCTCTTAGCAACCCACCACGGTTTGACATTTGCCTGGAAGCTGTCTCTTTATTGGGTGTAATTTGCTGTCTATGGAAGTTAGGCATGAGAGGCAATTTCGTGTCTCACAGACCTGTGTCTCTGCTGCTTGTCGGCTCGTTGTCTACTGCGTTTCACCACAGTCTCCACATCTTTAAGGTGGGAATGATCCGTATTCTCATCTCCTGTGCTGTGGACAGCACAGATGGCATTGCAACCCTGCAGGTGCTGAACTCTACACTCCTATTTTAAGCAGCAAGATCATGAAAAGTCGACAGGTACAACCTTTAGCATTTGGGCTCAGCTGGCAGGAGCATGCTCCACTACTTCTGCAAGCTATTAAACTGATGTAAAATTGGGGGCTGAGGTTGGATTCATGAGCTTCTGCTTTCCGTAGGACATGAACTCCCTCAGATAAGGGTATGCTCAGAGGAGTGTCTCCTACCCTGAGCCCTTGAGTCGGCTTCAGAGAAGCCTGCCTGTGTGAATGTTACCAGTAGCAGTATTGTGTATCTGTTTGGCCCTGAACACACTCGGGGTGGACATTTCAGAATGGTTGGCATTTCTCTCCCATCGTACTCATAGACCGAGCCCGTGTTGTGTCTGCAATGTTCTCTCCACACTTGAGTCTCTCCCACCTTCTTCCTTCCCTTTAGCTTTCTCTCTTTGGTGCAACATTTAGTTTAAAAAAATAGAGAAAAGTATTTAAATTCAAGTAGAAGAGTACTTATTCCTTTCCGAATCTTTGAGAAATTATCTAACATGCTTTTTTTTAAGTTAGTGAAAATGTGTTTGATTTGAATTCCATGTTTCAGGTGTTAGCAGATGCCTCTCTCCCTGTGCGCAGTCCTCTCCAACTCACTCTGTGACTGTTGATTCTCATTTGTTCTGCACAGGCGTCATCATCACCTTCCTCGCCCATAGCTAAGGAACCAAAGTACGAGAAGCACTGGCTAGACACCTTGTCAGTTCCTTTGTCCATGGCTCGAATCTCAAGGTACAAAGCTGGAACGGAAAAATTAAGGTGTGTGACCATGGCGTGAGAGGGGAAAATGTATTGAATTCCATGCACTTTTGCAAATTCTTGTAGTCCATCCCTATTTCATAATGTTTGATTGTGTCATTAGCAAGTGCATGTGCTATCTTCTGGTAGATTTAGCATTTGGGGAAAAAAAGGTTCTAGGAAAAATGCAAAAGTGACATTGAGAACACCCGCTGATTTATTACTAGGAATAGTTCTATCCAGTGGCAAGGTGACCATGGCTAGTTCTCATGAAATAGTCACTAGAGAAATAAATTATATCTTCAGTTTTAAATGCTAATAGAATTAGATGGAAATTAAAATACTGCATTCCTGTTCAAGTTGCAAATGATTGTAGGAAAGTCATTTAAACTCTTTGGGCTTCTTTTTCTTCACAAAATGATTGTTAGACCAGCACCTATATGAAATACATTCTCGCTAGCTTGTGAGATTCATTGGTTAAATAATTTCAAAGATGTGTCTATAAAGATTTATGGTTTTCCAGCTGTTTTAGTGGAATAACATATGCTTCGCAAATTTTGTTATTTGATCACTGTAGAAAAACCAAGAAATGAGTTGCTGAAAGTTCTTTCTCAAACTCTAGACAGGTGTGTGACAAAAGCAAGCCTTCTGTTAGCTTCACTGTCAGCAAATGAAAAGCACTTTGTTGTCTTAAATTGAGCATTATCTGTCCCAAAATGTGTGTGTGTGTGTGTGTGTGTGTGTGTGTGGTGTAGTTTTGTGTGATTTGTGTGATGTATGTGACTGTAGTATGTGTGGTATGGAGTGAGTATGTGTGTGTGTGTAGTGTGTGTGGCTGTACTTCAGTGTGTGTCTGTTACGGTGTGAGTGTATATGTATCTGTGTGTGTAAGTGTGGTATGTGATGGGGAAAACATGAAGCCTGAATTCCCTGTACTGCTCCTTCAGTGGAAGAAAAAGTCTAGCTAACACTGCTTTGGACAAGGGGTTATAATTAGACTTTCTGTGTTAACTGGTATAAGTTGATACAACTCTTACAATGGATGTGCATGGCAATAAAATGATTTGTATGCTCCTATAACAGGAGCACTAGTTTTGATTTTTAGATATATTCCCATCTTTGGTAAAGGTAGATAGACCTGGTATGATATATGTATATAGCTAAAGAGGTGGAAAGACAGGTAGACAGATGATATAAATGAATAAATAGATTAGGATAGATGATTGATAGATGATAGATAGATAGAAGATAGATAGATGATAGATAGAACCATACACTACATAATGAGGTTAAGATAAATGAAGGATCACATATACCACAGTGGTCCCATAAGATTGCAATGGTGCTGAAAAATTTCTATTGCCCATTGACATAGTCATCATGACTTCATAGCATAAAGTATTACTCAAGTGTTTGTGGTGATGATGGTGCTGGTATAAACACTGTGGTGCCAGTCATGTAAAATATACAGTAATGTCCCAGGGCTTCACATTCACCCACCACTCACTCACTGGCTCACCCAGAGCAACTTCCAGTCCTGCAAGCTCCATTTGTGGTAAGTGCCCTTTATAGGCTTACCGCTTTTTATCTGCTACACTGCATATTTACTGTACCTTTTTATGTTTTAGATACTTATCATTGTGCTACATTGGCCTACAGTATTCAGTACAGTAACCTGCCATACAGGTTTGTAGCCTAGGAGAATTAAGTTACACCATATAGCCTAGCTGTGTAGCAGGCTGTACCATCTAGGTGTGTGTAAGGACACTCCGATGTCTGCACAATGACGAAATCACCTAACAATACATTTCTTCGAGAATTTCCCCATTGATCAATGACCCATGACTGCAGCTAAATAGATGAGTCAATACATTAATAGGTGGACTAGGAGATAGATATACAGATATAGATTGATATATTGATGAGTAGGCAGTCATTTGTAAAATATAGCAAAATGAATAAGCAGTCTATACTTTTGCTGCAGACAATTCCTCTTAATTATGTGCGTGTGCATGCACGTGGCTTCCGTGCGACTTGTGTTTTGTTTAAGGGTGGTTTATTTAGGAACCAAGTAGAGAGCTCAGCACATATCTATAATGACAAGGAAGAAAATATTGTGCTGTATTGTATTGCTACTGTAATTTGAATTAAATAAGTTTTAGAAAAACAGAACCACTGAACTTTATCAAGCACTTACTAACCCATTAAATATAATAAAAGACTTGCCATTCCAGGTTCTGGCTTAAGGATGAATGCTGGACACAAGACTTCACCAACCAATTTGAGTGCTTTAACACACATGTTATCCTTGGCAACAAAGGATTCTGACTCACCAAACCATCCATACCACTGCCATTGGGATAAATATACTACATCCACAACAATAACAAGGAACCCAGGAAGTCAGCCAGCAGCCTGAGTCCTACCACACCCTCAGATTCTTTTTCTGTAAGAAAACCTATCATACCCTAACAGCAAACTGAAAGTTTCTAAATTCTCGCAAGGATGAGTTGTTTTGTGAAGGCAAAGATACCTTATTAGCTTGCTGGAGTTTCATGATTTTATGCAAAGTTTTAGTACAGGCAGGAAGATGCAAAATGCAATGTGCATTAGGACTCAAACTGTGAGTTTTGCTCTGAAACATATGTGGATTAAAGTCCTGTTTAGAGGCTGAGCTGATGATATTAGCTCTATCTTTCCTGTAAACTCCCAAGGTCACATTAAAATGCAAGAAAAAGTGAAGGAACTTGAGCATGTTGACCCAAACAGATGGAATTCTAAAACTCCTGTCTATTTTTTCCAGAGAGATCCTCAGTATGGGGAGGATTGGGGAGGGCCAATCCTCAACTCAACAGATTTTAAAAACTTAGAACGAAAGCTGAAAGCCACAACCTGGGAGGAATTTTCAGATGTCATACAGTGGATAAAAATAAAACTAAAATGAAGAAGTTAGCATCCTGTGTGTCCCATCTAAGTCTGTCCATGTCTAGTCATAGGACCTCAAATGTATAACTACCACATATATATATAAATTTCTAAAAGATTAATTATATAAATATATATAATATATAATACAGTAAGTCTTCACTTAGAAACAGCAACTTCAAGTGAAACAACGTACCACAAAACCAAACTTACTTTAGGCTAACAGCTATAAACTAGAGTTAAGTTTATAAAGCATACTTCTGATCACAAAAACATCATCCCACTTCAAAATGAAAGTCAAAACACTTCTAATATTAAATATTGAATAAAAATGAGCCATATCTATGCATATAATACTGATCAATTAAAAAATAAGATAATCACTCACCCAGTCAGTACAGTTCAAGGTTGCAGGTAGCTGGAGCCTGTCCCATCAGCTCGGGGGCAAAGCAGGCACCAACCCTGAACAGAATGACATTCCATCGCAAGATACACACACATACACCCATACCTACTCAGACTTGGACCACGTAGACACACCAGTGAACCTAACGTGCACGTCTCTGGGTTGTGGGAAGAAATCCGAGTGCGTGGAGGAATCCCAAACAGACATGGGGAACGTGCAAGTTCCACACAGACAGTGGGCCTGGTTGAGAATCATTATTTTTTCTTTGTTTTTCAATGTTACAACAAAATGATATTGAATTATCGTGTAACTATATAACTATGATGTTATTAGAACATTTGCTGTACATAGTTATTAACTATGGTCATCACGCTGTACAATAAACCTTAACACTTAACTCCTCTTGCCGAACTGAAACTTTGTACCCTTTGACCAGTGTATCTCCACCCACCATCCAACCCTGGTAACCACTACTCTGCTCCCTACTTCTATGACTTTGACTTTTTAAGATTCCATATATAAGTGCAGGGGGCCAGCCCCTGCAAGTTTTGGGGAGTCCCTTGGAAGATGTGGTGGCGTCGGCGAATCTGTAGGGATAGATATTAAAAGAAAGAAAGATGGAAGGATAGATATAAAGAGGAAGAAAGAGAAAGAAAGAAAGTGGACAACTGTTCAGTGAAATGAGCAGAAGTCGTTTATTGAAAGTTACAGCAGGTATTTATCCCCAAATTTTACACAGGCAGTCTCACAAGTCTTTCACGTGAACACAAAGCCAGGTGCGGAGGGGCATCCCCCACCCACCAGATGCTTAGGTGTGAGGAGGAACAAACCCCAAGATTGTCTTATTGTTCCCTTTGCTAGTTAATGTTCTTCAAAAGCACTGTAACAATCCTTACTAGCCTAATGATGCTCTGATAATCAGTAACTTCTAGAGCTCACACAAAACCCATGATGACTATCTTAAACTTTACTACTTACACAATGCTATGGAAGCTTTTAATTATAGCTTAAGCCAATTTCCTAAAGAATGTGGCCCAGTCCAAAGATCACACTGGGCCCTACAGGATGTGGCCCAGTCCAAGGTCCACGGTGGGCCACCTTTTGGAACAATAGACTACAATCTCTTAACAAAATGGCTATTCCAAAGTCCTATATATCTATCCTAATTTCTATGAAAGTTTTCCAATTCTTAATTCTAATATATAAAGCTGATTAGCAGTAGCAAAGCTTCTAAAACCTAAATGTAAACTGTAAATGTACTAAGGCCAAAACTTCGATAGTAGAAAGTGGAGACAATGACATTTCTAAAGTTAACTATATTCTTATTAAACCTAAAAATATTATGATTGATTATGTTTGAACTAACATGATTCGTAGCATGACCTATTCTACAATACCGTCTATGAATAAAATAAATTCAATTTCTATAACAGGTAGAAAAAAGACCTTACACTAACTGTAGCTAAAGCCGGCCTAAAAGAATGCAGCCCAGTCCAAAGTACGTGCTGGGCTCTCAGGAATGTGGCCCAGCCCAAACTCTGTGCTGGGCCACTCTTGATAATCATCTATACCACTGAAAAGCTGAAAACAGCTCTCCATAAGTATATACTAATTCTACAAATATTCTTTTAAATCTTATAAAGAAGCTTGTACCATATAAAAGGCTCCCAAATGTGACCTGAGTTTGAAT